GTTCTGTGTGTGTGTGTGTGTGTGTGTGTGTGTGTGTGTGTGTGTGTGTCTGTCTGTGTAAGTTCTGTGTGTGCGCGCGTTGGATGATGTGTAACTACAGAACATTGCTCACCGGAAAGCACACAATAGAAGAGCATTGAAACCGTCAAAAGTGGTTAACGGGGACACCCACTTTCACTCCTTGGTTAACGGGCTCAAGACTGAAATTACTAAATTAGGGTTTGGGGGACAAAATTTACGTTTTATTTTTTATTTTTTATTTTTTGCCTGTTTTTGTTTTGGTTCAAGGTTTGTGTGTGCCAAATTTGGTCTCATTTGGAGAATTGGAAATTCCTCTGCTGAGATTTCTGAAATTTCTAAAGATTTCTGAATTTAATGTTGGCGAAATTTGCATCGAAGTGGACTTTTCTTTTTTAAAAGGGCGACTGCCTTGAGATATCGTCAGTGAACTGACCGGCCCCAGGCAATTCAGAACGATTCTATTCTCTACATCTGAGGGCATCTGGATTCGAACTTGAGTCTGTATTTCAACAGTTCAGGGGTGTACCAACTGAGCTAGGCCCGTTGGTCTCCACTCTGTGAATTGGTGGCAAGTTCGGTTGAAATGACCCTTGGGTTTTGTTATAAATGGCATTGACAAATTATCTGAAAGTTAAGGCCTCTGCAATGAACCCAGTCTCGTGAGAAGGCCGTCAATGTCGAAATAGAAGATATCAAAACGCAAGAGTAATGTCTTCAATAATCGTTCATGAAACCATACTTGCCGAATCTGTTGGCCAGTGTCTCGTTCACAGAGAAGGAAAGAGGAGAGAGGGAGAAGAGACTCAGAGGGTGGAAGAGAGAGATTCCATCGTCAACGCTGAACAGAACTCCCTCGCTGCCCTCTTCCTCTTCAGGCTTCTCCCACTCGCCACGTCAGCAGCAGTCTTTCCCTGACGAACTCGGACAGCAAGTAAGGTACAGCAAGGTGCCCATCCTTCAGCCACGTCAGCAGCGGCTTGGGAGGATGGCGCAATCTCCCTCTGAAGACGTACAGCTCAGCGCAATGACGACTCCGTCACAAACAGGTAAGCACCTTCTCACAATCGAACCAATCTCACAGCCCTGATCCTCCCCCTCCTCGCCCGTACTCCATCAATGTCACAATCAGTGTGGCTATGGCCACTTCAGCATAATCGTCATCAGGGCTGGTGCCACCATCAGAGAATGGCGCCAGCATAAGCTCCTTACAGCCCTGCGTCAACGAGCCAGCGTCAAGCCAGCATGCAGCAGAGTGCCCAAGACTGAATGCCCACCTCCGGAGGCTGGGTCAATCTTAGAGTGTCGACACGGTTTGACCAGCCTCTGGTCTCTCAGCCACGGCGGCCCAGATCGTCCGTAGGCCAATGACCTGGATTCTATACAGTTGCAGATTCCAACGTGCCTCACCTGGACTTGATCTCCTCCAGATACCTGCAAACAACCGAAGGTGTATCTGACCTATGGCCGTGGCTGGGAACAAGCCGGCTTTGACTCATGTGCCTGAATTTCCGAGCTGAAGTCGACTGTTGACTTTCTGTAAGTCAACTTTCTCACGTAGGGCCTCTGAAAGTCAATTTTGGCCCTGTCGTCGGTACCTCACGGTTTCAGGCCTTCATTCAGGCGTTCTTTTGACTTGGGGCATGACTTTTGACCCCCGTTTCGGGCCCGTGACTAAAAGTAGCACCCCGCAGCCCACAGCGATGCAGATTTGAGCTGAGTTATTACACCTCCTTTAACCTGCCCTCCAGTGTTTCCCACCAATAAACAGTGCATACCGAGCACTTTTGCAAACCACATTGGCAGTTACTCTAGAAAACGGCACAAGGACAAACAAACAAGAATGTGACAAAGCAAGGAAGGTAACACACAAAAAGAGCAAGGAGATTATCCACAGACTGTTATGTCACACTCCCATTGACTCGTCAGGAGGCCAAATTGGCGATAGTTGTAGAATTCCCTGAAGGTGGTTTTTGAGTCATAACCTGCTTTAAACCCTACTACAAGTGGGCAAACCAGCTCGACAAGTCAGCTTCTAGCAAGGCAAGTGATTGGGCAGGCGGACAAGGGGGTGGGCAGCCAGCAACGTAGCGAGGCACGGAGCGCGGCATGCGCTTGGCAGCATATATAGCAAGGCAAGTGGGCAGGTGGGCACACAACTACACAGCAACAAGCCAACAGCAGGTGGGTGGGTGGGCAGGTGGGTACGCACACAACAACATAGTGAATGGAAAGCATCTCGAGGGTAGATTGCACTTTAAGTCGCTAGCAACGTGCCGAACTGTCGATCGCCCTGATTGCGAAATTCTGAATGACAACGCTGAAGACCATCGACCAAGCCCTTATTAAAATGCTAGCCGAAGCCACCTCGGATGAGGGCTAGGCAGATAGGAGTGCAATGCTGGAATTGCTTGGACGGAACCATCCTCCTTCAGCTTGAGCCTATTCTTGCATCCTCACTGCTTTTCCTGCGATATACAAAATCTCAAGCAAATACCCTTGTTCGGGTATTTAGTATTTGCCCTTATTACGGCCAGGACAAGGAGTCAAGGGCCAGCCAGGCGGCCAGGCACAGGGACGGGCAGCAGGCAGGCAGCAAAACACACGAACGGGCATGCAGGCAAGGCAGCAAAGCATGATGACACGTAGTGATGCGAATGGGGAGTAAGCACCAGTGAGGCAGGCAACAAGGCAACTGCAAGATGGGCAGGCAGTGGAGTGGCAAGGGCCACGGCAAGACAAAAAGACAGACGAGAAGCAGGAAGACGCTGAGGCATGAGGGCGGGCAGCATGATAAGTGCAATACTCCTTTCAGGCAACTAACTTGTACACATATTCCAAAAAGACACAACTATGGCAAAATTGGTTTATGCACCACACTTCGGATGTAGTGGCACAACGCCCCTTGTCGGTTCGAGTCCTGCTAGCCGTACGCTAGAAACGAAGAGCGTGACATATGGTAATATTCAACTGAGGCGAGGAGATCATGGGGGAGGTTGGTTGGCAGCCAAACGACAAGCCAAGAAAGAGGACAAGATGAGAAACAGCAGGAAGGTAGAGGGGTGTGAGGGCGGCCACCACAGTGAGAAGAGGGAAGCTGCATGGACACAGAAAAACACAGACACACCAAGGACCAGAGCGGACTATCACCTACTCACGTTGTATGGAGAACTCTGCAGACCACAGGTCCATGGCACCATTAAGAAACAGGTAGCCTGAAGACCAGTGTCTGTCATGACCAAGGAACACAGAGACATAGTCATCCTGAACACAACAGTCCCCCTAGTATTGTTGCAGGCACTCCAAACCGAGACTGACTATTTGGCACATCTTGAGGGTGCTGCACTTGGACACCGAGGAGAGCATAGGAAAAGGCCAGAGTGTACACGAAGTGCACAATTCCTGAGAATCAGCAAAGAAAAGGTTACAGATGATTTGATTTTGTGTGTATGTCTTATTATGCATGTGTTGATTTGTGGGCCCGAAAAAGAAAAAAGAAAAAAAGAAAAAAAAAAGTACTTAGCCTTACTAGGGTATTTGCTCCGATGCCTGCATCCTTCGGGTATTTGCTGTGACAACGGTGCAGGTTTGACCACAATGGTGATATAATTTATGTTTGTAGTGCATTTATAGCATGGTTACCGTCCGGACGTCCGGATCCCATTCCCAGCCGTCCGCGTCTGGATGTCCGGGCGGACGTCCGGTCCGGTAGGTCCGGAATTAATATATATATAGCCTCCTGATGAGTCGGTGGAACTCCGACGAAACAGTTTGTCACAGCCCCTTGTTTGTTGTCCTCTTCTCCCTCTACGCCTCTAGTGTATATGTTGACGAATTCCAGAATTAGGAAGGGTTTACGGGCCTGAATCAGCCTGTGCTTGAATCGCCAGGTTTCAGGCATTGCAGTGTGAACGCTTACGAGTATCTCAAAGGGTAGAAGCATGAGCTATGTGAACAGCTTTTGCCACAGTACTTAGAATGTGGTCATGAAACCGTTAATGTGTGGAGAGAGGCCATGGAGGGAGGATGCGTTATGTCTAAGCTTAATTGCCACTTCATCGGGTCTTGAAACACTAGCCTGTTTATAGAGCTCAATATCTTTTTCGTAACGAATAGAGATCCTTCCTTGGGAAGCTGCACTGAGATAGGAAGAAGTGATCGTTGTACTAGTCAATGGATTGTGGGGAGATTGTTCCTGAACGACGCGAATTATCAAACGAGGGCGAGCACATGGGAGTTTACCGTTAGTATGAGAATGTGGCGAAGAGCCCGGGGGAATTCAGGAGCGTTGAGAACGTAGTAGAGATAAGGCAATGCATCAGTATGGGTGTAATCCCAATGGTGATTCCATGTTGCATGGCTGCGAAGTACATCAGCAACGTATTCCAGAAAGTGGGTATCTCAGTGGGAGTGTCTAAGTGGGAGAGAGAGAGAAAAAATGCCAAATTTTGCAGCGAGTTGCCATATTATGCATGTTTTGTCCACAGGGACAAAAATGGGAAAGTGTTGTTGAAAATGGCACAAGGAGGCATCTCTAAAATGAACTGAACGTGGGTAGCTCTCACACGACAAGACAAAGAGGATGCATTGGATTGATAATCGGTGAGGATCGCAAAATGCTAGCTCTTCAACTTCAGAGAAACTGACGACAAAGAAGAAGAAGGTCGAGGCTGTCTGGCCAACAACCTGTTCTTCTTGTCAATGCACTCATCAAGTCCAATCGGCAGCACTTTGAGCCCATGAGTAGTTTCCCCATTCCGGCAATACTAAGAGCCTTCTTCCCCCTCCCTTTCCTCCCCTTCTTCCTTCCCTTCCCTTTCCTTTCCTTTCCTTCCTTTCCTTCCCTTCCTTCCCTTCCCTGTCTTTCCGTACCCTTTCCTCTCCTTGCCCTTCACTTTCCTTCACTTTCCTTTCCTTTTCTCCCCTCTCTTTTCCCTTCCCCTTCCCATTTCCTTCCCTTCCCTTCCCTTCCCTCTTCCTTCCCTATTCCCCTTCCTTCCCTTTCCCTTTTCTCTTTCTTCTCATCGCCTTCCACCTTCTTCCCATTGCCTTCCTTTTCCTTTTCCTTCTCTTTCCTTTTATTTCCTTTCCTTTCCTGTTCTTTCCTTTCCTTTCCTTTCCTTTTCTTTGCTGTCCCATCCTAGTATCCTTCTCTTTCCTCTCCTTCCCTCTCCTTCCCTCTCCTTCCCTCTCCTTCCCTCCCCTTCCCACCCTTCGGTCCTCGCTCCTCCCCCTTCCCTCCTCCCCTTTCCACCCCTTTCCCTTCCCTTCCCCCMCCCCCCGCTTTCCCCTTCCGACCTTACCGCCTTCCGTCCCTTTCCCTTCCCCCCTTCTTTCCTTCCTGCCTTCCTTCCTTCCTCTCTTTTCTTTACCAATGAATCAGGAAGCGCGACACAACAGTCTGCCGCAGCCTTCATCCTTTCTTTCAACTGTTTGGGAAGCTTTTTGTGCCAGTACATATATATTGCAGCTACCAGAAGCAATCGCATCCAACTTCAACCCTCAACCCCCCACCAACATTCATGTCTGTGAGACACTGATGCCAAGGACACAGGTCCAGATTTGTTAACTTCACCAAAGTGGCTTCTTCTAGTAATTACTCCTGGCATGATGTTACCTCAACCCTCAAACTCTGAATGTCATAGAGCCTTTCCTCATTGTTCCCATCTTGTTGATGGCTATATTGTGTCTGTTGACTACACTATCATCTTTGATGGTGGCCTTAAGCAACCGGACTGATGCCCCCCAGAATAGAAGGGGCTGGGAGTTTGTTTATAAAAAAAGTGAAAAAAAAGAAAGAGAAAGCAAAGAAGAAAGAAAAAAAGAAATCCCTCAGCAGCCTAGAGCTGCGAGTGGAATTTATGGCCAAAGGCCTCAGGGTTATCTCTGTAACCTAAGCTGGATGATGCTTCCAGTATCTATTTGATCCGCGAGTTGTTTGCGAGGAAAGAAAGGAAGGAAGAAATAGTGGAAAAGAAATAGTGGAGAAGAGAAGAGAGAAGAGAAGAGAAGAGAAGAGAAGAGAAGAGAAGAGAAGAGAAGAGAAGAGAAGAGAAGAGAAGAGAAGAGAAGAGAAGAGAGACGAGAAGAGAAAAGAGTGGAAAAGAAAACGGAAATGAAAGAAACGAAACGAGAAGAAAAGGAAAGACGTGAAAAGAAAAAGGAAAACCAGTAAAAGAAAAACAGAAAGAAAGAAGCGCTGTATTTTCAAATAATGGAGGTAAAGAGGAGATTGAGAACGAAAACACTTTCCCCTGTGCTGTCTAGCTATCCTCTGCCATATGCTACCTCTGCCACGCAGGACAGGGGTTACTTTGGCGTGGAGGTGCTGCCGGAATTCTATTTTGTCTTTTCTGACTGTTTGTTTTGCCTATTTGTCCATTCATCCATGGCCATGCATGTTTATCTGCCTTTATTTGTTTCCTGATTTCTTCGCCTTTTTGCCTATATATGTGTTTTGCTTATAGATGTTTTGCCTATATGTGTTTCCTAATTGCTTAGGCTTTTTGCCGTCTGTGTAACGATCACGATCATTCCAGAACATTCAATGCGGCGAGACTGTGCATGTGGAGGAGGAGCCCTATATTGTTTCAGCGGTGACATATCGCTACCAGCTGCGAAGGGGTCAGTATGAACAAAAGCAGAAGCTCCTCGAAGTGCAAACAACTTCTCGGTACATTGTGAATTTATTTCTGGAGCAAGTGCTGCAGAACTCGTAAAGCGAGGAAGGCTCCCGCTGGCAGGCAGACAGCCATCCCACCTACCAACCACAAACTTAAATGAACGATGAGTCGCTTAGATCAGCCTGACAGCCTACCAAGCACGAACTTCAACCGGCATGCCCTTACTTAGACCAGATGGACGTGTTAACGATTATGCACCCCTACCGTCTTCACCGGAATAGAACACTCGGTCATTATAGCTGGCATCTGGCCTGAAAGTTTGCCCTAAATACAGCGAAAATGCCCGGGCGTTCTTCGGGTGAAGACTTTAGAGTGACCGTAATAAAGGTCCCGCCTCTCCATCAGTGAAGGTTTGTGCAGAGCCTGCTGACTTCTAGGAGGCTGGCATATGCCCCACTCAGGCATTGGCTCTGTCAGCGCCTGGTTGTTTTTTATTTTCGGGAAGGGGGGAAAGCAGAAAAAGAACGGAGGAGAAGAAAGCACGTCAGTCAGTCAGCCATTTAAAACTGGCACTTGTCAGTCTGTCTGACATCTGCCTGTCATCTATCTGCCCATCTGTCACTCTGTCACTGTCTTACTTCTGTCAGTGTTTCTGACATCTGACAGTCTTTCTGACGTCTGTCAGTCTTCTTGGCATCTGTCACCCTATCTTGCATCTGTCAGTTGCACAGCTGGTTTGGCTGCGAGTCAGTCCATCAGAATGCCTGCCATTTTGAGGCCCAGCTCTTCAGTGAACTTACCGAGTATCCATAATGCTCCACGTATGGTAGGCAGCCTCTCCATCAGCTCATCGATGACCATCCTATCGGTTTGTCAGTCAGTCTTATGAAGCACTCTGTCATCCTGTCAGTCTGTCAGACTGTCGGTCAGCCTGTCAGTCTGTCAGACAAAGTCAGCATGTCACGCTGTGAAGCTTCCAGGCAGTCTGTCAGACTAAGTCAGCCTGTCAGTTTCTCAGACTAAGTCAGTCTGTCACTCTGTCAGGCTGCCAGTCAGTCTGTTACTCTGTCAGGCTGCCAGTCAGTCTGTCACTCTGTCAGACTGCAGGTCAGTCTGTCAGACTAAGTCAGCATGTCAGTTTCTCAGACTAAGTCAGCATGTCACTCTGTCAGGCTGTCAGTCAGTCTGTCAGACTAAGTCAGCCTGTCACTCTGTCAGGCTGCCAGTCAGTATGTCAGACTAGGTCAGCCTGTCACTCTGTCAGGCTGCCAGTCTGTATGTCAGACTAAGGTAGCCTGTCACTCTGTCAGGTTCCAGTCAGTCTGTCAGTCTGTCACTCTGTCAGACTAAGCCAGCCTGTCAGTACTCAGACACTAAGTCGGCATGTCACTCTGACAGACTGGCAGTCAGTCTGTCAGACTAAGTCAGCCTGTCAGTCACTCAGACGAAATCAGCATGTCACTCTGTCAGACTGGCAGTCAGTCTGTCAGACTAAGTCAGCATGTCAGTCACTCGGACTAAGTCAGCATGTCACTCTGTCAGGCTGCCAGTCAGTCTGTCACTCTGTCAGGCTGCCGGTCAGTCTGTCACTCTGTCAGGATGCCAGTCAGTCTGCCACTCTGTCAGGCTGCCAGTCAGTCTGTCACTCTGTCAGACTGCAGTGAGCCTGTCAGTCATTTATATCAAATGGTCTATCTGCTTGTCAGTCAGTTTATCAAGCAGTCTGTCAGTGTGTGCGTCGGTCAATTTGCCTCTCTGACCGCCAGTCTAGCTGTGTGTCAGTCATTTCTGTGCACTGGTCTGTCAGTCAGTCTCTAATTTCCATACTTTCCACTTGCCGTTATCCGTGGGACTTGACCCTTGTATGTCGGTGTCAAAAAACGATGCCTTTCCACTGAGAAGTCAGCCATTTACTGACTTGTCTAGACCAGTTGGTAAACGCATGAGCTGTCGAGTTACAGACCTGAGTTCGAATCCCGATGAAGCTAGATGAATGAATGAAATTCTGGAATTACCCAGGGCGGATCAGATAATATCTCCCGGCGTCCCCCGAAAAAAAAAGAAAAAAAAGAAAAGAAAGTCAGCCATTCTGACAGTCAGGCTGAGAAATACGCCAGTATGTCTGCAGCCAGTTTTGAGCCTGTCTGTCAGTAGTCAGTCACTTTGATTGGCGAATCAGTCAGTCTACTCTGTTCATCATTCTGCCTACCAATCAGTCAGTGAGCCTGTCTTTTTTTTTTTTTTTTTTTTTTTTTAAGGAGGGCCTGTCAGAATTTCATTCAGCCACTCAGTTGGTTTGTCAGTCTTTCAGCCAACCGTCTTGGCCATCAACAGAGTTAGCGTTCAGTGAGGGCATGCATGCTCAGTGCTCACCCTTAGACTTTCCTAGATGTATATACCCATAAAAACGACTAGATTCTGATGAAAACGTCATCAGTGCGAAACACTGTGAATATCTTCTTAAGCCACCGAATTTTGCCCATCAATGTTGCCATCAGTCGCCTGCTGGGAGAAGCAGGTCATCATTCCAACTCCTCTTTTTTTTTTTTTTTGGTGTGTGTGTGTGTGTTTTTGTTTTCATCATTTCGACTTTGTTGACCTTGGTATGAGAATTATTACTTTTGTGTTCAGATTCCAACTTCAAGTTTTTTTTTTCCAGACTGTATATGTGCCAACTGGGCATGAAAACTATTTTTGTGTGAAGATTTCAAGTTTTTGGTTTTCTTTTTCGTTTTTTTTTTTTTTTTTTCCCCCCCCCCGAACTTCGAGAGTACCTAACTGTATGAGTGCCAATTGGGCATCATAATTTTTTGCCTTTTTTAAGTTTTTTTTGTGTTAACCTTGCAACTTCGAGTTTATAACTGTTTTATGTCCCAGTTTTTTTTTCTTTCTATTTGTGTTAAAAGTTAAAACATTCCAACTTCAACTTCAGAACTGTTTTATGTCCCAAAACAATCGGGCACCTCTTGCTTTCATAGCTGTGTAGAAATGCTGTGAGAGCCAGCGAGACTCAGCAAGACTGTACGTATCAGCGTATCAACAATCTGTCTTTTCGTTTTTTCATGTTTTGGAAAAGGTTTTCAGTGCTGTCCAGATCCCATAAGGTCTTCAAATGCACAACGAAATGGTGCCAAAATGTGAAAATTTCAAATTTCAAATTTGGCAAATGTTTAATTATTACTAATTTATCTATCTTCTATCTATCTATCTATCTATCTATCTATCTATCTATCTATCTATCTATTCTATCTATTCTATCTATTCTATCTATCTATTCTATCTTCTTCTCTAATACTTAAAGGCAAAAGCGGTCCTCGGAAGACGCTCCCACGGGACCAGGGAAAAGAAGTCCCGCGCTTCGGTTGGATGGGACAGGCCCTGTGCAACGTTTCGTTTTTTTTTTTTTTTTTGGTCGTTTAGTGCACACTTTTTCACGGCCCGCTTTGCAGGACGCGGGTTGCACAAAGTTTTTTGCCCTGCGGCCGCGGGGTCGAGTCGGGGAGGCGCCAGGTGGCTTTTGTGGTGCTTTGTCTTGCGGGCGGTTTCATGCACGCATAGAGAGACGCTACATCGATCGATGGGATGCGCAAAATCGGAATGAATTCTCCGCTGGAACAAAAGACCCTCTCTCTCTCTCTCTCTCTCTCTCTCTCTCTCTCTCTCTCTCT